ACGCTGTGGTTTCAAGTATCCTGGTCAAGGCAACTTCACAGTAGACATATATCCATGGCAATGTATTAACAGTCAACAATACAAGCCATTTTTGAACCATTGATTTCTATGTGGTACGCGCCGAGATTATATAACGGGCACCAGCCGCCAATCAGTGGTGACCCCACAGAAACAAATCCGAAACTGTCAGACAGTAATAAATATCTGGTCATGGGCCCAGACTGGGCTCTACACCAAGACTGACTGACTGACTTACAGATTGACCGTCAGTCGCAATGTGACTTTGACTTTGACTTGTAGTTAAACTGACCCGTGTGGAGGAGTGGTCGAATAACTCCACCGTGATCCTACGAGTCGTAGGAGGCGACGAAAATGGAAATCTCACATCTGAGAGAGTGAAGTATGGCCGTGAGTCCCAAGGAACTCGGACCCGAGAAAGACTGAGCTGGCAATGACCAGCAGGATATGAAAAAGACACACTCGTCCTCTTCTCAGAGAGGGCGCTCCACTAAAACAAGACCGTATCTGTCAAATAGTAATAAATATGTCATGAGCCCCAGCTGGGGCTCAACACAAAGACTTACTGACTGACTATCAGCCACAATGTGACTATGAATTGAATCAGTCATGAGTAGCAAAGGTAGAGTGGCAGTTCGTGATTGGCCGTGAGGGTTCTCCATTGTTAGCAACTACCACTCAACAACGACTAGATATTGCAGAATTACAAACGGAACACATACTGTGTCCTGGATTACGATCATATAGTATTTATTTATAGGGTGTGTAAATTATTGGGATTGTTACGATCATTTGTAATTAAGATTTATAATCGTTCAATAATTCCAATTTTCATTCGAAACATAATGTCTACTAACTACCACGTGACAACATGTTTATACATGACTGATATTCAGTAGGTTTCCTTTCAGGAGCTACTCATATATTCCGAGTTAGATGCTCACATACTTATCAGAACCCTCAAACTAAGAGTGTTGGACTGCTGCAAACCACTTTTTCACAACCGACAAGAACACCTTGTGTGAGGAGCGAGTTGTAAGGTTACAAAGAATTCTACACTCCCTTGGAAAAAGAGTGCCAAATGTTTGCTACACAGATTTGAAGAAATATTTCCTGCTCTAAGAGAAACCATGGTGAGTGTTTTGTGTTTCTTTGAATAGGATATATATTTTTTTCAGCCAACAATTAGCAAGTTCAGAGGAACAAAATAATAGGAAGAAGTTTATCTTAATTTTCATAATATATGTTGTCACTTTTTTAGATTGCATTTTGGCGATTTTAGTCAAGTGTCATGTATCTTAGATACTTGTACATGATTTGGGCAATTAATGTAGCTTTGGGGTGAGTGTGGGAAATGCAGAGGAAACCCAGAAAGTAAACCTGAATGAATGAGACCATTTTCTAGATCTATGCTCAAAGGTTAAGGTAACAATCATTATATTCATGTCAGAATTAAATATATTTGTACAGTTTACTGATGTTAAAATTTCCAGAGCTGAGGAGATTGACTCTCTGTTCATCACCCAATAGATCATTCCTGCTAACAGACGAAATTATATGTTATAAATAGAGATATGTGTAGGCTATCACATTGTGTACTCGTACAAGATGTGTCCCAAAAGTCATGAAATATAATTCTTTCCCGCGCTCTTACTGGTCGGAGAGCGCTGGAACCGGTTGGGTTAGGGGGGGAGACTTTAGCTTCACGTGACCACGTCACGGCGCGCGATGGCGGATACTTTCGAACAACGTTGGGCGGTCAAGTTCTGCACAAAGCTCAACAAAAAGCTGCTGAAACTCACGAACTGCTTAAGCAAGCTTACCGGAAGTCTGCTCTGTCATATGTGCAAGTTACAAGGTGGTTGAAGAAGTTTAAGAAGGGCCAGGAAGGAGTGGAAGATGACCCCCGCTCTGGACGGCCACCAACAAGCCAAACAGATGAAAATGTGACTCGTGTGTGTGATTTGTTGAATACTGACTGTCGAATGACTGTCCGTTTGTTAGCCGACACTCTGAACATTCCAAAAACCGTTGTGCATCTCATCGTTATGGACGAATTGAACATGCGAAAGGTGTGCGCCAAGCTGGTCCCCAAATTGTTGACGGGGAGCAAAAGGCCAATCGGGTATTGATCGCGAGTAAATTGAAGCAACGTGTGGAAATTGAACCTCATTATTTAGACTGTGTTATTACCTGTGATAAAACTTGGAAAATTGAGTACGACCCAGAAACGAAGCGCCATAATGCTGAATGGCATACTTCGGATTCCCCGAAACCGTAGAACGCAAAGATGAGAAATCCAAAGTGATAATAATGCTCAACGTCTTTTTCGACGCCAAGGGTGAAACAGGCACGTTACACGTTACTCGTTACACGTAACAGGCATCATTGTTGTGCGGTGCCGTGTTGCTAGCAACGCTGTCCGGTGTTTTTACTGCTGCCTATCAACCGCGGTATCCCTTGGTGACGTCACCACTGTAGACTCGCATTGCATAGCTACCAGGATGCTGGGACTCGGCTAACTTCGCCTCCGCTCGGCACGTCAGCTCCCGGGGAGGGGTTTCCAGCTAGCGCGACACGTCACAATATATAACTGAGTATGAATGCGCAAGGGCGAAAGACATATATCATAATACTAACGAAATGATGGAATGCTTTTTTATTTTGAAGCAATAACAATGCACCCATTGTGACATTTATTGAAGTTGAATTATTATATCTGAAATAAACACTTGTAAGAAAGATGCTGAAACACATTTCAGAGAATTACAGCTGGAGGTTGTGGATTGGATTTGATTCTCTTAGTCTGCAGAACAATAACAACCTCCTTTGAACATGGTAATGAATTTTAAGTTCCATGGAAGGCAGATATATTTTAGCCTAGTTGGTGACCACTAGTTTCTTAAAGAAGACTCCCCACCGTGGACATAGTAGTTCGTACTCATTTTGAAGTAGAAGGAAAGATACCTGTGCAAAACTGCTAGGTCAATTTTACATAAAGGAAAAGGAAAATGTATCCTATTTTGGAACTAACTTTCGTATTCTGAAAAAAAAAAACAAGAAAATCTGGGAAGATATAATTACCTATATACGAACCGGACCGTAAAGAAAACACCAAGTTCAGCAACTTGCGAATGCAACGTAACATGACTCTAGAAAGCTCCCGTAGTGGATTTAGAAGAGACGGCTCTTTCTTGTGAAAAGCTTGACAAAAACGTCCCTGCAGCATCAAATTCACATAGAACGCATGAAAAATACCGAGTCCAACAGTTCTTCTCTCGCTGCTTATGTATTGTTTGCTGTGGGAACGTGTTTGCCGAGCCGTTGTCTGCTCTGTTGCTTCTCAGGAGATCGCCCTGCTGCCTGTTAAGGCCCCTAAGTCCTCAAATTCTGAAAAGTGGAGGCAGAAAAGACGGCCGTTACAGTAACATATAAACAATTGTTACATGTTGCGTGACGCCTGAAAGCCGGAATACTGCGTTGAGATATGCGCCATTGAAATAGCCATTGCAAGGCAACTGCTCGCAAATTAGTTTCACCATCTAACAAGTATCTGCGTACTTCGACTGTTTGCTAAACACGGCCGGTCGGGACACGTGGGACAAATTGCTGTTGAACTTCGAAAGCATCGCCCCACCGATGGCACAAACGATATTTTTGTTCTTGTTTGTGAGTCCCACGGTACGTAGTTCCTCTGTGTATCCCACTGCTAGGCAATGGTTCTCTTGATGGGAAATGGCCCGCTTGCTTGGCAACGTCTCTTTAAATAAATTGCCGTTTCCTATGCTGAACATGTCTTAGTGAGTGCTTCTTCCTAGAATCTCTTCCATGTAATGCAAATTCACAGCCATGACTGATGCGGCATTTCTCGATTTGCAGAACGTTACAGATTTGGAGAGAGTACAGATACGGTGTTCGAGTGGTGAGATGTACCCAGCATCTCCTCCCGATGCATATCAAGAAACCAGTATAAAAGCCGAGGTACCGTCAGAAGCAGAAGCAGAGGATCCTCTCGCAATGACATTTCCAGGAGGAATAAAGGTTGAACCTGAGGTGAGATGCGTCCCTGTATCCATGTTGGGCCGATTTCACAAAAACAGGTGTCCCTCATTTTACAGACAATCCATTTGTGTACATTTGCTATAACGAACAACTTGCATTCGTAAGAAGTAAGGGGTTGAAGCACATTTTGAAAGATTAAAATTTGAGTATGTGGAGTGGATTTGCTTCTGTTATTCTATAGATCCATGACAGGCTCCTGCGAACATGGTAACTAACTTAGAATTCCACAGCAGGCATATAAGTATATTATAGACTAGCAGAGTGACCATTGGCTTCTAAAGGGAGACTCCGTTATGTGGTATCAGTTGTTCATAGTCATTTTAAGTTGCTGGGAAGAAATGCGTAAAAAATGTAATTAAGAAATTAATTCAACAAAAAATGAAAATTATCGTGTTTTAGTCCAATTTTCTTATTGTGATAAATGCACGAAATTCTGGGAAGTATCAATTGCCTTCTTCCTTTCACTACTTATTCGGTATTTGATATGACCCGGAACTCCTAGAAAACACGTAAATAACATTTTATAACAGCAATGGTTGAGTAAACATATTCCCATAGCAATAAATTCACTCCCAACAATTGGAAAAATGTTGGACACGATGCATCAACCGTGTTGTATCAGGACCTCAAAATGTAGTAAAAGGAAAACGCGATTTTTGGTTCCCAGGACTGCTTGTATGTAATGTGAATGCACAGCCATGATAGAACGGCATTGATTGTTCTACAGAACCTTACAGACTCGGAGAAAGAACGAAGTCTGTGTAGTAAGATGTCACCAGCAGCTTCTCAAGATCCATATCAGGCCATCAGCTTGAAAGCTGAGGTACCGTCAGATGCAGAAGGAGAGGAGGCTCCTCAGGCAATAGCATATCCAGGAGGAGTAAAAGCTGAACCTGAGGTGAGCTGTTCCTCTGTGTCATTGTTAGGCCGATTTCACTAATCCAGGTCTCCCTCGCGTTACGAAGTACTGCTATTGTGAACGGCCTATATTCGTGAGAATTCTTTTGCGAATCAGAGTACATGCTGAGCAGGGGTCTGTCGCGTAGCAGCAGATATCAGCACCCTCCTACAGAGCTGTGCTGAAGCAACGGTTTCCATCCGTGACGTCATGGCATCCAGCAATATCATCCACGCTACACCTTATCGTTGAACTAGAGTTTACACCTTACTCCACACCCATACCACGTAGTTTTTCCTCTTCCATCCTAACCCTGTGTGTCCCGGAAGGAAGTTTGTTTTGGGATCAGCGTTGTAATCTGATAATGAATCCACTCGGGCGAGGGCGTTGGCGGACCAGCGGGAGGAATTTCTAAATTTCAGTACAGCGGGGTTTTATCTAAATTAAATTTCGGTGTAGTCGGGAGCTCGCCGCATTCCTCGGGGTTACTTACGGTTGACAGCAGTCAGGGGAAAGCTATTGCGGCGATACGCGGAATGGTTTACTTAGTATACGTATTATTTTTTGGGCCGCCAGTGGCTGACGAAGAATCAGTAGTGAAGTCGTGTTGTGGTGTAATGACTTCCGTACATAATGTAGGTGGGCCAGTGAAACTGGGCATGTCGGCTCAGTTTGATGCCGCGAAGTGCAGAGAAGTATAGGGCTGAAGTCAGCCGTGTATATTAGGTTGTCAGGGCCATGGTATGCCCGCAATGTTCTATTGCTCTTTCGTATATTCTTGTAGTGATTTATATTGTGTTTTTTTCTCATTTAATCTTGTTATTGTGATATGGGCGATCGTTATAACTACTGATAGGCTCTTCGCTGCGAGCTTGGATTCCCTGCGACTACCTTAGGGAGCATTGTGAACACGATGCGAGAGCCTGTAACGATGAACTTCTCCCGACTTCACGATGATTGTAGGTGGTAGGGTGAAGACCGGAGTAGCAGCGGTTCACTACATCCCACACAATCCCAGTATCAGTCCATCCGCCTGATTCAGTACATACAGAATCAGCTGTGCTCTTCATGCTTACATTTCATCCATACGTACCTGTCTTATCTGTGCACAGCCTGGCTCCCTAAAGCAGAAATTGGGTTAAGAATTAAATAATTCCATTCCAAATTTACAGTGGAAACTTCACAACAAAGTTCAGACTATTATAAATACTGTCTAAACACGGTGACCTACACAAACACTTGTATCTACTGCTCCGGTGAATTCAGAGAAATTTCAGACACCTTGAGGAGGCACGTCTCGTTCTGTACCCATCACACTATTTTCAACCTGCTTCAACAATACTTTTTCGCTGAACACATGACATTTCCATCCTGAATGAGGACAATTTGCCACCTTCTGCGTGTTTGATACTCATATGAAGTATGTTATAAACACGTTCTGTAATACAGAGAGTCACGCCTATCTAGTCTTTGTTTTCCACTTCTCTGTATATACAGTGCAAGAGTACTGGAAACGCTGTTTGTGACAATTCCCCACAATTCCGACGATCCCTTCTATGGATTAGGAATTTTCGCGAGATAAAATGCTTCCCATCAGAAGCGCATGCGCTATTTTGTACCATTACCATTTACGCAACACCGCCCCCCTACATACAACATTGTCCACACGTTCAGTCCTCTGTTTCCTGCAGCCAGTGCTTCATTTGTCGGAGTTTTCTGTTACTTTCTCTGTGACTGTGTCGAATTGTAGCCCTGCCGTATGCAGTGTCATATCTTCCTTAATTTTTATGGAATGTAAGTCTGTAGTTCGATTTAAGCGTTTTGGACGTTATACACATTGGACTGGTTTCGGCAATTGTGCAATGCTGTAGATACTTCGATAGTTTGTATGCGGGTATGAAAAAGGAAAGGAAAATGTAAAAATCAGAACATATTTTCAAGGAAGCAATCCGGAATAATAAACACAATATAAAACCCAGTAAAGCCTACCCTACAAAGAGACGAATATGAAAAAAGTGGCGTATACCAAATGAATTGCATGGATTGCGCACTAATATATATAGGGAATAGGGGGCAAATATAAACCCAAGTACAATGCACTACCAATACGGAAAAATAATGCAGAACCATGGGTCAAAAGCGACAACGAGTAAGCTGATCTATTTGCGGAACATTTATCGACTGTGTTCAAGCCGCTCAATGAAGAACCTGACCAACATATAGAACATCACCCAGCACCTCCTTCAAATATACAGATCCCCTCAAAATGACAACCACAAAATAAATACTAGAAATAATCAAATCACTCAGTCTAGATTAAAGCTCCACACACAGATCTCATAACGACAAAAGTGCTGAAAGAAATGCCAATAAAAGGTACAGTACTACTGACATATATATACACTGCCATACTGCGAATGGGCTACTGACCGAAACCCTTAAAGATTGCACACAAAATAATGATAGGTAAACCTGGAAAGGACCTAACAGATGTCAAAAATTATCGCCCTATATGTTTGTTACCAATCATGTCTAAACTATTGGAACAAATTATACTACGAAGAATCAACAAAGACCTACCGCCTAGCGAATGGATCCCAGGTCATCAATTTGGATTCCGCCAAGCTCACTCTACCATACAACAGTGCCATAGGATCACACAGGGAAATAAGCAAATCCATAGAAAACAAAGACTACTGCACTGCAATTCTTCTTTACATCAGCCAAGCATTCGACAAAATTTGGCACCAAGGACTGCTGCATAAAATTAAAAACCTCCTCCGAATATCATATTGTGACATGTTGCGCAACGAAGGACCCCTACCTCCCCAGCGGCACGTGGCGGTAACGTAGCGCTCGCGTAATAGACGAGTCATCACCCCGCTACTCTCCCCGCGGTGACGACACGAGCGGAGCCGATGTGAGTCTAGCGGAGCCGAAGTTAGCCGAGCCCCCGCAACCTGGTAGCTATGCAACGTGAGTCAACAGCGGTGACGTAACAGGATGACGTGGCACTCATTACGCAACAGGCAAGCACTGCGGCTATATAAGTGAGCAGCACAGCGGCTGCGAGTTAATTACAATGTGGCCATCGCCGAAGACTGTTCCAAGTTATTTCTCAAGGCAGCAGCCTACGAGTTGAATTGAATTATAGTAGTCACCGAGTTAGTTGTAATGTGGGCAGTCGCCGAGTTGTAACGTGGCCATCGCCGAAGACAGTCCTCGAGCTACCTCCGAGAGTTCCGAGAAACCGACGAGCGAGTGTGTTATCAACAGTTCTCCAGTCAGCCGACTACAGTTGGAGTATAGCAGCCGTCGCGGAAAGAAGAACCGGACGTGTGTGTAATTGTGTAATTCGGAGTGTGTGATACAGTGATACGTAGCTCCCCGACTGTAAACGTGTAGACTACTGAAGGCAGACTGAACTGATTTGCGCATAGTGTTATAAATCGTGAAACCCCGCAACAGTGTGAACAGATTATTGCGATTAGGGTTATAAAGTGTGAAACCCCGCAACTGTGTTATAAGTAATTGTAGCCGTTACTTGTAGATTGTTGGATAAACCAATTAACGATCTCTACGGCGTCTTCAGTAACGAAACAAGTTACAATATTATCGAATATTAAAGTCTTACCTACAAGAACGAGAATTCTACACTGACGTAGGTGAAGAAACTTCCAGAAACTATACAATTACTTCAGGCGTAACGCAAGGGAGTGTACTTGGACCAATTCTCTACATACTATACACATCCGACCTACCAACATCGCAAAAAAACTGTAATGAGGACATTCGCTGACGATACAGCTATATTTGCAAGTCACCGAGATATATCAACAGCAACATCCTACATACAAGAACACCTCAGTCAACTTCAACAATGGATGTACAAATGGAGGGTTAAAGTAAATGAGGCTAACTCAACGCATGTAACTTTTCGATTGAAGAATGGGGACAGTTCAACAGTGCGAATCAACAATATCTTAATACCACAAAAAAGCACTGTAAAGTACCTAGGGTTACACCTGGATAACAAAATAAACTGGAGAGAGCATATCCAAAAAAATAAAAACCATAGAGTAATGAGAAACAAAGAACTAAACTGGCTGGTTGGCAGGAAGTCAAAACTGACAATGGAAAACAAGATCCTAATTTAAAAAGCTATCATCAAACCAACAAGGACGTACGGAATTGAAGTATGGGGATTGCCAGTAAATTCAACACAGCCATCATACAGAGACAGCAGTCAAAATTACTCCGACAAATAGTGAGCGCCCCGTGGTAAATAACCAATTACACACTTCACAATCCCTACAATCCAAGAGGTCATCAAAAAAGGATTGCCAGGCACATACAAATCATAGAAGATCACCCAAATCCACTATTCAGCCAAATACTACAACCAGTTAACAGGAGACTCAAGAGCCAGTGGCCAACAGATAATAATTGAAAACTCTGAGGTAACATCACTGGACGTTAACCTCAACACACTTCAGCTGTAGCTAGGATACCTAGAACGGATCAACACTTTAGCTTATAGAATGCACTGCATTCTGATTGCTGATCATGTACTACAAATAAAAATTATACAAAGAACATATTGTGGCGTTCCGCCTAAATCTCGTATTATCTGAGCCAGACTGGGAGTACATTGATAGACAACGGCCCGGTAGTCACGTTTCCTGCGCAACCAAGGTGACGTTTTCATCACAACGGCCAAGTAAAAGTGTGTTCTCATAACAACGGAAGGAACGTTTTCATGACCAAGGAGGGCTGAAGTGTTCGATTCTGTGTTCCCTAGTCGGCAAGCCAAGCAGTTATGAAACAGGTCAGAATTGCACATAGACGTGAGAGGACTGTTTCGAAATCGGAATATAAACCAACAGTTATAAGCACAGTTCAGAAGAGAAGTAGGAGACAACACAGAAAGTGTGTGAACTGTTATAATTGAGTATAATTGTGTTAGTATCGTCCAATAAACCCAAAAAACGAAACTAAGA